TCCCGACGCACTCTTCCACTTCATCCACCCTGTTCTGATTCTATGGGATACATCTCCATCTAACTCACCGTCCTTCTGAATTATGGAGCCCAAGTAACGGAACATATCGCTGACCGGTATCTCCTTACCATCCAGAGTAATTCCGCTATTACCACTACTTCTACCTCCACCAAACTTGCACTCCATGTACTCTGTCTTGCTCCGACTTAGTTTGAAACCCTTATTCTCCAATGTTTGTCGCCATACTTCCAACTTTGCTTTAAGACCTGATTGCGTCTCATCAATCAATACAATATCGTCGGCAAACATCATGCACCACGGTATATCGTCTTGAATTGACTTCGTAAGTTCATCCATGACTATGGCAAATAAGAAAGGACTCAAGGCCGATCCTTGGTGCACTCCGATAGTAATAGGGAACTCTTCAGTCCTCCCTACACTAGTACGAACACTTGTAGTACAATCCTCATACATATCCATGATGATGCTGATATACTTGCGTGATATGCCTTTCCTAGTTAAGGCCCACCAAAGAACTTCTCGAGGTACCCTATCATATGCCTTTTCTAAGTCAATGAACACCAAATGCAGATCCTTATGAGCATCTCTATACTTCTCCATAAGTTGCCGAAGAAGGTGAATGGCCTCAGTTGTTGAGCGACCAGACATAAAACCGAATTAATTTTCTGAAATCTTCACGATCCTTCGAAGTCTTTGCTCAATCACTCGCTCCCAAAGTTTCATGGTGTGACTCATAAGCTTAATCCCTCGATAGTTGGCACATTCTTGTACATCACCTTTATTCTTAAATAAGGGGATAAGAGTACTCTTCCTCCAACTCGTTGGCATCTTGTTGTTTCTCCAAATCATGTTGAAGAAACTTGTTAACCACTCGACGCCTCTCTCTCCCAAACTTCTCCAAGCCTCGATCGGTATGCCATCTGGCCCCATTGCTCTTTTCCGTCCCATCTTCCTCAGAGCTTCTTTAACTTCCGTTGTTTGGATCCTTCTCACAAAATCACGGTTTACCATACAATCTGGTATGGACAAATCGCCGATATCTTGCGTTTTGTTCCCGTTGAATAGTGTATCAAAGTATGACCTCCACCTTTCTTTTATCTCTCCGTCATCCATTAATATCCTCTGATCAACATCCTTCACACACTTAACTTTTGCAATATCTTGAGTTCTGCGATCACGAAGACGAGCAAGTCTATAAATATCTAGTTCTCCTTCCTTAGAGTCCAACTTTTCATAGAACTCCTTGTTCACTTTCCCTCGTGCTTCCCTTACGGCTTTCTTTGCTTGTCTTTTAGCCTCCCTGTATGCTTCTATGTTCTCATCACTCCAATTTGTCCCCAACTTTTTGTAGCAATCTCTTTTGTTCCTTATGGATTGTTTCACCTCATCATTCCACCAAGATGTGTCCTTTTTAGGTGGCCGACATCCTTTAGATTCTCCAAGTACCTCCTTTGCCACTTTGTTAATGGTCAACTCCATTGATAACCACACATCATCCACATGTGTTTCATTATCAATACGCCATACATCTTCACCGACCATTTTGTGTGTAAAGCTTTGTTGAAGATCTCCCTCAAGCCTCCACCACTTTATCTTTGGCTCCACTTGTTGTTTAACTTGTCTTCTATGATTCTTACCTCGAAAGTCAAGCACAAGCATCCTATGCTGAGTGACAACACTCTCACCTGGAATAACCTTACGATCAATGTAGCTAGTTCTCCAAGTGGTCCGTACTAAGAAGTAGTCAATTTGGGTACTATTAGCTCCACTTTTATAGGTTACAAGGTGAGAGTCTCTTTTCTTAAACCAAGTGTTCATTATAGCCAACTCATACGTCAAGGCAAAATCCAAAATGTTCTTTCCCGCCTCATTCCTAGTGCCAAAACCATGTCCGCCATGAATATTCTCAAAGCCATCATGACTCGAGCCCACATGCCCGTTGAGGTCACCTCGTATGATCAACTTCTCTCCCCTTGGCACTCGTCGCACCACGTCCTCAAGATCTTCCCAGAACTGTTGAGTTGTAGATGCATCCAATCCCACTTGTGGTGCATAGGCACTTACCACAGACACAATCTCACCTCTTATCACCAATTTAATGCTCATGATGCGATCATTCTTCCTGAAGACTTCTACCACATCCTCAACATAGTCACGCGCCACAATAATGCCTACCCCATTTCTAGTCTTATCTCTCCCCGAATACAACAACTTAAAACCTCCGGGATTAATCTCGCGTGCTTTCTCACCAACCCATTTAGTTTCTTGCACACACATAATGCTGATATTCCTTCTGCTCATAACCTCGACTACCTCGGAAGATTTACCTGTAAGAGACCCAACATTCCATGTCCCAAAACGCAATCTAGCATTCCACCTTCTGTTCTTAGCCCCATCTCGGACCCCACCATGCCCTTGCCTATTTGACATCATCCTCGGGCAATGGGATGACGCGCCGCTTCTGGGCGGCGACCTAACAACCTTAGCATTCTTAGCACCACACCCAGGTCTATCAAGTGTAGCGCGCCCTTGCATATTTGACACCACCCCCAGGCGGAGGGATGACGCGTCACTTACGGGTGACGACCTAGCATTATCGATATTCATATTTCGATTCATGTCATGTGATGTGACTAGGTGATACTGTTGGCCGTCACACGCCTACCACAGCACCCTCCTCCTTTATCCTGGCTTGGGACATGCATGATACCAAAAAAAATGATATCATGGCGGAGTTAATGTCAAAAAGCCTCGAATAGAATAATTTCTTTGTTAATTGAGTCCCTGCAAGTCACGAGTCCTGGTTCCGCTGCTTATCATACATGTATAGCACAACATATACTGTCACACCCTCCCTTTTCAGGGTAATTTGTATACTCAAGAGGTTCTTCGTTGGCTGCTTTTATAGTTCATGCCTTTTCAAATGTATTCTGGAAGAGAGTAGAAGTCCTTTTGCTTCTACCAGCTAGCTCAGAAGAAAAGCTTTGCCAATTAGATCAACAGGCTGGACCTCTAAGCGAAGTATTCATACCAAGGCACCATATGTATCTACATCTTTTCTTTACTTGATTTGATAAGTTTTATTTCTTCAATCAGTTGAAATCATCATAGGATTTTCATGCAAAACATACAAAGACATCATGCTCACCTAACAGTGTTTGGTATTTTATAGAGACAAGTTGTTTTTCTTTGCATTCATGCATTTTGTTTTATTACTTGGAAACTTAATGTCAATATTGTTACGGAATTTGTATTCACTGTTATATATGTTCTTCATGGTTTTTCTATACCAAAAAAAGTTCGCAACTATCTTATATATGCTATTTTGGATTCTTGAATGGTGTGCTATCATGTGCATGATGAAATATCTATATCAGGTGCTATTTCTGGGGATTGCACAATATGCATGAACGATCAATTGTAATAGCTATTACTCCTATTAGTAAAAGTTTGGACACTCGCTTCGTTGACTAAGTTTTTTTTAATAGAAAGACTGCAATTGTATTTAAGTTTGGGCAACTTACTGTCATATTGGACCAAGTTATGATCGGTCTTCTGTTGGGAGAAGGTCAACCTCATTCGTTTCTGCCACAGTTGCTTTTCTGAGATATAATTTGGAAATGAAGGTGCATACATGGGAGCTCTACCACCTTGGATTTGTTTGTGGAATGTGGAGTTTGAGGTTGATGCTTACTTATGATCAAGAGCGTGAATTTGATAATAATTTAAGTCTGGAATTAAATAGAAATAATTTAAGTGAACTTGCATCAGCCTTGGAATTACTAGACATCTTCTTAGGTGATTTGTTAGTTTGCCATCCCGTGCAACGCACGAGTAAAAGACTAGTTGATTATGTAATTTTAATTAGTTAGCACAAATAAATTTGAAAAAAAAATCCTCAGACCGTCCATCGCACGGGTGAGTTTACTAGTGTAGAGAAAGGCTCTGAAGATGTTACCTTTTGAATTGTTTTCAGTCCCATACTAGATTAGACTTAAACAGACTATACCAGCCCAGATTTAAACATACCAGACCAGACTTGAACATTTATAAAAAACACAGAGATCAGACATTAACCAGTCCAGACCAGGCAAGACTATACTTAAACAGACAAAACCAGACCGGACTAATAAATTTCAGTCCAAAAGAAAACATCTCAATTCCTATCACATCATCCAATACTAATCAAACAAATAACCTTAGAGTCAATATATAATCGGTGGATGGGTTTAGCCTCAGTGACATATGAAAGATAGAAAATAATTTATTTTTATTTTATACGGAGTATGTACACAAATGAATGGAAGGAAATGAAAAAAAAATAGTTTAGAAACATTTTAAAAAATTAATGCAAAATATATTTAGATCATGCATGCAGAACTTGCAAGAAATCAAAATAAATATTGGCGTATGGGGCGAATATGGACCTAGGCCAGGCAGGGCCCGGGCCCACTCTCAACTTAATTTTTTTAACTATTATATATATGTATATATATTAGGCCCAAAAAATTATTAATACATAGGGTATGTTTGATACAACTAGCTGAAAAGATACTTTTGTGAGCTTTTTAATAACTGTTAGCTTTTAGTGACCGAAAAGATCTTAAAGAGAAAAGGTGGTAGTTGTTTGGTAAAAAGCTGACTGTTTGATTTAGTTCGATTTGGTATACAAGCTGTTAGGACTAATTAATACTAAAAGTCATGAGCTTTTTTGAGATGCTACTTCATGTAGCATCTCAAAAAATATCTTTTATTTTGTGAAAAGCTCTTAAAAATTGTCAGGCCAAACGTATAACTAGAAATTTTTAGAGACTTTTTGAACATTATAGAAGCTAAAAGGTATAGACTGTAGACATATCTATAGCATGCTATCAGGCTTATCAGCAGTCTTCCGTGTATGCGTGTTATTTTCACCCAAGTCCGTATTCTGTAGCCCAGAAATCTACTCTCCCAATGATCCAACTCCTAAGCCCAACAATAAATGACTGGCCCTCATATCTCAGTCCTAACTCCGAACTGCCGACTCGTGGACTCCCTCAGGAGCCAGGACTCATCCATCTCAAATTGCAACATTTCCTCACAGCTTCACAGATCGATCGCAATTCGCAAAACTCATACGACCTAACTCGGACCGCAAAGTAGCAAACTGCAACGTGGGGATCGAAGGTTGAGCATCTTCCATTCTTCCGTACTCGGCAACTCCCTCACTGCTGGCTCTTGTCTTCACTCTTCACTGCATCTAACATCTTCCATTTCTGCTCTTCGGCAGTTCGGCCTTTGCCTCAGACATTCAGAGTTTCATAGGTAGGTTTCTGAGTTTCTTAATCGGTTAGTTTTATAACTTTATTGTACTATTTAACTCTTGGGAAATTACCTAAAATAGGAGTAAATGAGGTTTGAAATTTTAAAATAGAACTACTATTTTTTTCCCCCGAAATAGGAATTGTTACCGCTATGTATTAATTTTACTCCGTAATTAATAATGTCATGCTTTTCCATCATTTGCAATGGAGCCAAAGATTCATTATTTTTTGGCTTGAGATTATGATGTAATAAAGCAAAACGACTCACTAAACTGTCTGCGCTTCTTTGTTATGGAGCAACAGTCAGTCCATGCAATCTTGGACGCGATTTTCATTATGGGTCATCCGGAAACAGTCTCTCTGTGCTTTAGTACAGGGGTAAGACTGCGTACATCCGACCCCCTTACCCCACCGCAGGTGGGAGCCTTTGCGGCACTGGGGTAAATGAAAATGATGAATTAATAATGTCATGCCTACAAGATGTTGTGAATAATTTTGTCCCATCTAGCGTGACACTACTTCTATGAATCTATCCATTCACTTTCCTCTAACAAAATAACGCATTTTGCCCAGAAATCTACTCTCCCAATGATCCTATTTTGGAATTGCAAACTCTATTTACTGCTATTTTGGAAATCTCCCTTAACTCTTTATATTCAGTTTAGTCTTTAGAGGAATTAGAAACTTAGATAGTTATATTCATAGAAGTTGGACTCTTAGAGTACACCTTTTTGTATTCAGAAATCAGAATTTGAGAAATCGGAATTTATAGATTTAGTCTTTAAGCATTTAAGGGCTCTATTCTTTATACTTTCCCTCTTTCAAGTTTTTAAACTTTCATATTTATGTCTTTATACGATTGTAATTTGTGATTTGTGATTTGTAGGGTTTGATTCGTCATTAGTAGGAGCATCAATCAAATTAGTATGAATTTGAATGATTTGTCATTATTAATCTCATTATTACTTTGTTTGTATTAAAGGCAATGAAGAGGGGTTTAAAGAGACTATAATTCTATTGAAGTAGGACTATGTAGAAAAAGACATCTTCTTGAAAATTGACAATGATGTCAATATGAAATAATATCCGCGGATGAAAATTCATAGAGAGCAGTTGTAATAGACATCTTGTAATTTGTGGTGTTTTTATATTTAACAGCTCATTCTCACAACAATGTGGTTGGTAACTTGGTAAGATCAACTGATCAAGTAATTAGGCTGAACCACACTTGTATATATTTAAAATTTGTTGGTTGTTTAACTAACTTTTAAAATCGTATTTAAGTCTTAGCCCATTGATTTTTCATATGATAGTTACTACTTACTTGTGAGGATCTTTTTAATATGTGCTTGATTATTGCAGAGTTGAATTTGTGATCTTTTTTATTTGACTTTGATGAAAACTTCTATTATCGTTAAATATTTGCAATATTTCTATTATTATTTTACCTTGTTGCAATTGGACTTATTTTATACGGAGTATGTATTAAACTATTAATTGATTGTCCCGCGCTCAATTTAAATGAAAATTTACACTTACAAAAAATTGTACTAGACTTGATGTATCTTCCAAAATCTTCATACATATGTTGCAAGCCGTAACTACCTCAAACATCTGGAAATGGGCAGATGAACTGGTGGTGATTGCGTTTCTGGTTAACTGCTTGGTGTAACCTGCATCATAGAAACCCCCTGGAACTGTGTTATAATATATTTTCTGTAAATTCTTTTACATTAATGCGGGATGGCCATAGAGGCGTTCTTGGACAGACGGGGATATTTTTTACCCACGGTTCCATTATTGTATGGATATAGATATAGATATGTTGTTAGTTAATGTTACCTCTTCACTAGTTGTTGCTAAATTTATCTAGGACAGGGTGGTTATACAGCAGTAGAAGATGGTGGTTAGGCTGAGATTGTCAAGGTTTGGGTGCAAGAACAAGCCCTTCTATAGAGTGATGGCTGCTGATAGCAGGTCCCCCAGGGATGGAAAGCATTTGGAAGTTCTTGGCTATTACAACCCGTTGCCTGGTAACCCTTACCCCCCACCGGCTTATTTTTTTTGCATGTTGTTAATCGTTGGATTTATTGTTGCAAATACATGATAAAAACGCCTCACTTCTGTAATTGTTGCATAGTTTGTTTTCAATTCTAAAGGCATTGCAAGTAGTTTTTCTATTGTCTTGAGTCCTGCTCTAAATCTTACAGTCAGGTAAAATTTGATAGCATGTGTTATTGTGATTAAATTAAAAATTTGTCTGTTTCACCTAGAGGATTTGTATAATTTTTTTTGAAATTTTAATCTGTTGATTGGAAGGGTGTAGTTGTGAAAATGATGTAAACTGACAAGTGACAATAGTCTAGGAACCACCAGCACTTCTATATTTTTCATTTGTTGTACAGTGATTGATTTTTTATGTGTTTCACATTTTAACATTCTAAAGTGTTGGTTATGAGCCGAGCAAGTTAGCCGGAAAGATAAGTTAGCTCGTCATTATAGCTACCATCACCATTACAAAACATTTCATCATCATCATCATCTTTGATATTTAGAAATTGCATGCTTCATCTTGGAAATTTGGAATGTGTACAAACTCTTATGAAATCATGGGTGTGAAATAACTACCCAGACTTTTTGGATTTTGAATTTTTGATGTTATGTCCTTTGCAGTTTTTTATTGTGATTTTTAGGTCACTGACATTGCATATATTGATTTATATAGGGCAAGATGGTGGGAAACGAATGGGTCTTAATTTTGAAAGGGTGAAGTAAGTGGATTTTCATTTACTCGTTCTCATGCACTTTTATTATGACTTCTGGGTTCATTGAGTCAGATTAGGAGTTGTTTTTGAAGATTTTGAGGGATGAAGCTAACTTAACTGAATCTCAATCATTAGATTTAAGATCAAATTGTATTTATACTGCTTTCCATTGAAATTCAAATCACTGTCCAGATTGGAAATTTGATACTTTTTATGTAAAGAAAAAAAATCTTCGGTGATAGTTACTTGTATCCTTTTGCTAAGCACACAATTAACATATCTAGGTGGCTAATTCATTTTCTCTAAGGGTATGTTTGGGAGTTTGGAGGGAAAGAGGGAGGAAAGCTTTGGAGTATCTTGTTGGAGGGGAAGGGAGGGTGAGGAAGCACTTCTTCGTAATTGGGAGTAATAAATTTGGAAGAGAGAATTTTTGAATGAATTATAATTAAAATCACTTTGAGATATGACGAATTCAAATAATTGAATTGATATTTATTTTTAATTGAGCTTAAATTACCATTTCGTTAACTATCCTTCAAAACCTCCAAATTGGGGAAACTTAAAAATTGAGCATTTAGAGGGGTTTGAAGGGTCATGAAGGACCTCCAAAACCATTCCCTCCAATATTATAAACTCCCGAACATGTAAAAGAGGATCATAAACCCATCAATCTTCCCCTCCCCTCCAAAACCAACTCCAAAACCCAACTCAAGACCCAGCAATCAGGCTTGGTCTTCAGCATTGGTGTGACTCTACTTAGAGGCGTCATTATAGTGTTAGACCGTGTCATACTGACAGTGGAATTTGCTATATTTTGCACATAATATACACACAGATATTGGCTATCAGTTGGTGCACAGCCATCGGATCCAGTTCAGCGTCTTCTTTTTAGAGCGGGCGTGTTGCCGCCTCCGCCAATGATGGCCATGGGACGAAAAGGTGGTCCCCGAGACAATCGTCAGGTGGATCCTATGACAGGACGTGTGAATACATCCGAAACTTCTAAAAAAAATGAAGAATCACCTGTCAATTGAAAGGAGTAGAAATCATAAGCTAGTGGGTTGCTGCAATATATGTATCCAGTATGACATGGAATTTACTCAATTTAGGTTGTTATATATTCCTAAAAATCAATGGATTACATAGCCTAAAAGATGTCTCTGTTGATGCAATTACTAGAAACTTTCTGTGCACTACTATTTACAAAAAAATTACTTTTTGTATGGAGAACATTTACATATACTTAAATGTCTGAGTCAGCCTTAAAAAAATTATCTCATACATCCGTTTTATTGGATATTTGGATGGGTGGTCATGATTACTACTAGGTAGGGATGGACTCGGGTCCGGGTCCGGGTCGGGCCTAGGCCCGGGCGGGCCGGCGGGTCAGAAATGGTGGACCCGGGACCGACCTGGGTAACCACCGGGTCCGGGCTGGGCCGGGCCCATTATAATTTTTTTTTTGTTTTCCTCTTCCTAATTAACCCCCCTCCCACCCCCAACCCCCAAACCACCCCAAATGGCCCAAAATACCTAGCCCAACCCGAAAATTTAAAAAAAAATTAAAAAAAATAGTTTTTGGCCCGAGCTGGGTCGGGCCTTGTTTTGGGTGACTCGAGCCCGGACCGGAAAACCCACGGGCCGGGCCTACCCGGACCGGTCACTGACCGGGCCACCGGGTCGGGCCGAGCCGGAACAGTACCGGTCCCGGGCCGGTTCCGGGTCGGGCCACTCGGCCCGAGTCCATCCCTACTACTAGGGGTAAATAAGGTCATATTCCTTGGTCTCGTTCCCAAACCTTAATTTTTGGGACCGGCCACTCTAGTCCCAGTTTCCGTTAGGGATGGACCCGGGCCCGGACGGTTTTTTTTCAAATGGTTGGGCCCGGAACTGGCTCGGGTTGATACTGGCATGCGGGTCCGGTCCTAACCCGGCCGGGCCTGGGTCAAGTTAATTTTTTTTTGCTTTCTAATTAACCTTCATCCCCCAAACCCCCACCCCCAACCCCCCCCCCCCCCCAAACACCTAGCCCTAATCATGAAAAACAAAAAAATTGAAAAAAAAGCCCGAGCCTGGCCCGAACCGCCCGGGCCGATTCAACAAATACTGGGCCCGAGCCTGGCTCGCCCACCCCTCCCCAACCGGGTAAAAGCCTGGACCCGGTTAACACCAACTGGGCCAATCCGGGCCCGCACAGTGGCGGGTCGGGCTGGTTCTGGGTCAGGCCGAACCGGTTGGGTCCATCCCTAGTTTCTGTACCTTTTTTTGAAGGACAACACAAAAAGTATAACAACTAATATATAATTTAATCAATTATTTTAATTTGTTACATGTATTTATTATATTATTTGGGTCTACTTCATCACATTTCTTCTTCCCTTTATGCATCTAACGCATAATCCAACAATGCCTGTTGCTCTTTTCTCTTTAACCTTCTTAGCTAATTAAAACTCAAAGTTTTAATTTGGTAGATGGCCAATAATACTCTAATATTTGTACTTCTATTATAGATGACCAATCTATACTCTAGTTCCTACTACCTCCGTTCTGAAAAGATTCGCCAAATTGACTTTTCTTGGTCAATGGTGACAAACTTTGGAAAATGATTTTAGTTATTATATTTGTATATAATTTTCAAATTTTATACTTTTATGGAAATATTTTGAATAATGAAGATTTTGATATAATTTTCATATTCTAAATAATTTCGTATTAAAAAATATCATTGGTCAAAGTTGATTGTCATTGATCAAGAAAAGTCAATTTGGCGAATCTTTTCGGAACAGAGGGAATATTATTTTATATATACATATATACCTTAGTCGCTTTTCGATAGTATAAATTACAAAAACAATCTTATATATTTCACTCAAGACATGTTAAAACTCAATAACTAAGTATAACTTACAACTTTATCTTTATTTGGACATTTGTTTCTCTTATGTCCCTCCACGTGATATATCTCACAATTTTGTATTTGACCTTTTCTTGATGCTCTATGAGATGTACTAACAGCAGCCTTCGAGCCACTTCCGAGAGCTTTAGCCTCATTTGAGGCTCTAACCCTTTTCTTGTTTGGTCTACCATGTAAATTTGGCAGTGGGGAAGGTAGAATAGCTTCATATTCATTCACTCTCATGAAAGCCTTTTCAGGGACATGCTGCAAAGGGTGTTGATATGTTGCCACATATCTTTCTTTATGATACCATCTAGATTCTAGATATATATTTCATGGCATCCACCTTCCTATAAAATAAAGCACATAAAACATGTAAGCAAAGTACGCAGTCAATTCCCATGCTCTGCAAGTGCACTGTGCATATAGGGTTGGACCGAGCCCGGGTCGGGCTCAGGGTCGGGATTTGGGCGGGACTCGGTTTGGGAATTGAAGGCCCGGTACCGGCCCGGGTTAGTTCCGGGCCTGGGCTGGGCTGGGTATAGTTTAAAAAAATTGGTTTTTCTTATTTATTCCTACCTCCCCCAACCCCAAACCCCCCAAACCACCCAGTCCCACCCGCCTAGCACCCAATCCATTCGAAAAAAGGTCCAGACCGGCTGAGCCGGTCCACCAAATAACCATCCCGTAGCCCCCCCCCCCCCCCCCCCCCCCCGTTCTGGCCCCAAGGCCCGGTCCCGATCGGTCTGGCCAGGTCGATACCGCACAATAGCGGCCACTCCAACCCTAAGTGCACATCATCTTATCTAACATAACAATGTGTTTATCTTCACCCTCTCCTATCTCAAACCTCATGTCACCATTAAAAATTATATTGTTGTTAGTTGTTGCGTTTCGGTTAGCTTGATAGTACTCCATGCATGAGGGAGACCAATCATTTATTCACTTCTCATGTCTGACCTTAAAATAAAAAACTCTTTTCATTGCCTTCAAACATATATCTTCTAGCATGCTAACAATGAGTTTTGCTCTGGCTTCTCGAACCGATGCATTAAAGGACTCTGTGATTTTATTATCAACCATCCAACATTTACTTCGGCCACTAAAGTATGCCCAAAACCAAGTTTGAATTGAATATTTCAATATGATAGAAGCAGCTTCATTGCTTAATTTTTCAAGCATTTTCAAGCTCATTCGCAACTCTTCTTCATATGTGCAGATGTGCTCCATGCACATATTCCAATTTTTTTGCACAACTGGTCACATTTCCGCTTTTTGTACCAATTTACATGGGAAGTAACTAACAATGAAAACAAGTCCAATTAAAGGTGGTTTCTAACCTGGCTTGTTCCAGAACTAGACCTCAAGAGTGGTGCTGATTTAACCCTTATTTATGATATGCAAAAGGGGTTAATCATTGCAGCTCAAGATGTGATACCATTTGTCCATCTTCATCCACTCCAACTGCAGCCAGCAAAATCCCCTTACACATACCCTTTAAAAAACTGTCCACACCTATGATCCTTTTGCAACCTACCAACTAGTTGTGCCTCAAAGTAGCAAAACAGATGACCATCCTTTTAAACACTCTCTTTGCTTCTTTCAATGCAGCACAATATAATTCTATTTCAGCTTTGGAACCAAGATTACTTCTCTGTAAAGTGACAATATAGACTTCTAGAATCAAAACTGAGTCTTACCGCTCCCATCCATCTCTTGGATAATCAACTGGCCTCTTGGATCTTTTATACAAGTATTGTACAAGCTCACATTTATCTTCCTCCTCTTTTTAGCCTCTTCTTTCATATCAACAACTCTGAAGCTATGATTTTTTGCAGGTGACCCTTGAAATAATTTGCTAACCACTTCTGGCTAGCATTTGGAATAGAATAGTGCCTAAAACACTTGTGCTCAGGGTTACAAACCTTGACTGCGGGCCAACCCACAATTCTTGCTATCTTGAGATATCCACAATCTAAACGGATAACCTTCCTCGTTAAGACATTTGACTACCAACCGGTTCTTCCCAAATTTCACTCTATAATTAGCGATTGTTGTGCAAGTCTCTTTAACATTTCCAAACGGCATTCCATTCATGAAAGAACCCGATCCATCATTCATAACATAGTTCTCTTTTGGTTAATCATATGTGGAGTCATCAGATTTGTTGCTCTCATCCTCCTCTTCTTGCCCTCCATTTGAACATTTTAACGTTTTAGCGGAATCCATCAATAAACATAAAACTTCAGCTTCTAATCTTGTTAGGCTTCACTTACAGTCCATGAAATTTCACTTAGGGTTGCAAATGGGGGTTGTGTGTTTAATTGTAGAACTACAATTCTTTCATTTCCAAAATATGACTAACATATGTCTTTTCTTCCTATTCTACCCTCTTCCTATAATTTCTAATATATTTATTTTATTACTAGTTTTGCACGCGCGTTGCGCCCGATCGAGTAAATGCCCAATGTTATATACGTGAAATACACTTTTCTAATCTTTGATAGGGGAAGGGAGCGAATTATAAAAATAACATATAAATTAGCAAACCACTCGATAGGAGTGAAATTATGCACCTAAACATCAATCCATTCATCTTTCCATAAATTATTATCATCAAGGGCATCCATCTTGAACTTCAGTTAAGTAGCAAACATTTCCTATCACCCCAATTAGATTCAGGTAGAGAAAGATGAGTTAGTATCACACAGCCACACATTATCTAGCTCTCAGTGTCAACAAGACCGTGAGATCACCATTTTAGAGTGTCATTTAAAATTTGTAGGAGCCAAACTTTTAAATCAGGGAAAAATGAAAAGCGGGCCATTAAACCTTCAAAAATGAAACAACAAAAAAGCGCATGGATAAACCAGTTAGATGATGTACTAATGCAAATAGTAGGAATATTAAGTCAATTATATTTTCCCCTAATAGTTATAAAACAATACCATCAGTGTGGATCTCAGATAACAACAAAAAGAATTTATATTCCCGACCACTAACAATTACAGATTAACTTATTGAGAGAGTAGGCTTACATTCCCCTATCCTCACACTCATTAATTTAATCTTTAAGACATTTGATACACAGTATCCACCATTTTCAAATATAAAAACATTTAATTTACCGAAATCGTTCAAAGTAACAGAGAGTTATTAACATTTATCAAAATAAAGCTCCTGCAAAATATAAAGCCTCTCTCATACATTGTCTCATTAGCTGAGTCCTTGGGGAGGGGGGAGGGGGGATTTAGAACGATCAAACATTACCAGCCCAGTCATAGAATCGAGCTCACGACTATCTTGGGATCCACCTTTTGTCCCACTGGCGTTTGTGGAAGAGTCAGGGGTTGTTTACTTAATGTGCATTTTACTGTTGGCAACTTTTTAT